TCCCTTTGCTCTGGTCTATGCTGCAGTCTTGAGATAACTGTCATAACCTCCCTTTGAAAGTACTGTTTTCAGACATGACAGAGGCTAGCTCATGGTTGTACTACCTATTCCTTGAAGCTGAGGTCATATATGGGAATGGGTTTACACAATAGCAGGCAAATGCTTCCTTCCTTGCAAATGGCTAGGCTGAATGCTAGAGCGATACAAGTGGTTAGAGAAAGGGTGAAATTTTCTCCTCACTCTGTGGAATAGATCCCCTATGACTCTCACCTGTCCACTTCCTGGGGAGGAGAAAGGAAGAATGGCACAATCTGCATAGCAGGAAGGCTGCCCTACCTCTAGCATGTAGAACTTCATGCCATATACTGTGTGTTCTCATCCTACACAATTCTCCATAAAACATGCCCTCCATGTGTAGCAGAATTGCTTTGGTTTTTGCTGCTTGAAAACTCCACAGAAGCCTGGGGCAGGAATTGGCCCCAGGTACAGAAAGATAACTGTCCTGTGTTAGAGAGCTGTCCCTTCACCCTCTCTCCTGGTTCTTGTCATGCAGACAGGAAACAGAAGCCCAGAAGCCCAAAGTACAGACAATGTGATATTAACTAAGGTTAGTTTCCAAGCAAGCATATTCTGAAGCTCATCACATCAGTCGGGCTTATCTTTATACACCAATAGAGATTTTCCCCATTTCTCTCTCCCAATAGTACAATAGTACTCCATCTTCTAATCCCTAGCTCACATATAGATGGAGTTTCCTTTTCCCAGTGTTCTGTTTCCAGCTCTGATGCCACAGGGCATTTACCCTGTGTGTCTCTCTTCCCAGCTCCGATGCTGCATATGTCCTTCTTCCTCATTCTCCTATTCCCAGTCACCCTCCTCCTTAGACAATCCAAGTATACCTGCAATGCAAGCCCCTTACTCACCCCCTTACAGTTTATGGTCATGTTCCATTCTAGAGGGTCATGAGTTAGGGTTTTCATCCCATTCTTTTTGTACCCCATGGGAGGGTTAAGAAGTGAGCTTGTGCTCTGGTCAGAGGCAGGCATTTCTTTCCTCTTTTAGGCCATGTCTACACTAGGAGATTATTTCAAATTTACTAAATTTGATTTCTGAGCACCCAATTTTACAAATTCAAAGTTCCATGTCTTCACTACAGGCAAGAATTGAATGTACTCCAGAGTGTAGGCTCTGTTAATGTGGATGAGCTACCTTGAACTCAGAGCCTCAGGAAGCACTCTGGGGAGCTGCGGGAGGCCTCTCAGAGGCTGATTAGTTTCAATTAGTGGCACCAGAGCATCCACATTAACAGTGGTCAGACTTACAAGTTCAGGAATAGCATTATTCCTTCTGAAAAGCAGGACTAGAATTTGATTCCCGGGCCCCTTATTCTGGAATAACGGTTGGTAGTATGGATGCTTTGCTTACAAAATTGACCTTGGGGGGGCAGGGAGCGGCGGCAGGCGAGGACCGGCGACCAGGGGCGTGGCGTGGAGCGGCAGCAGGCGAGAAGCGGCGACAGGTGCCCAGCGGAGCGTCCAGAGGTGTGGGACGAGACAGCTGGTGAAGCGTAGCGGAGTTTCGTATAAGGTGCCCCCTACCTATCTCCCCACCCCCATTTCTACCCAGGTTGGGAGGTGAAACCCTGTGGGTGAACTTTGGGACTCTGGGTGGCACAGAGACTTGTGGGGACAGAGACTTTTGGGGAGTCGGTGGACTTCGGGCGAATCTTGGCCAGGGGGGGGGCTCCTGTTTGGGTTATGAACTCTGTTTGTGGTGTTTTCCCCAAGCTAATGCCGTATGAATTCTTCCTCTGTTTCATTAAATGTTCTTTTCCTACACTCAGACTCAGTGCTTGCGAGTGGGGAAGCATTGCCTCTCAGAGGCGCCCAGGGGTGCGTGAATTTCCCAGATCACTGGGTGGGGGCTCGAGCCGGTTCTTTGTGAGATTGACCCCAAGATATTGAACCCAGCCCTGGTTCCTGCCAGGCCTATCCGGCAGAAGGGCTACAGGTACAATTGTTGTCTTGTTACTTAATCTGCTGTTGTTGACCTCTTCTGATGACACTCAATAGACAAGAGTTGGTTCTTCCACGGTCTAGTTTTTATAATTTATATCTGGGGGTACATCTATACTAGCCCCCTCGATCAATCTAGGGAGGTTAATGAGGGCGACCGGAATTGCAAATCAAGCCTGGGATTTAAATATCCCGTGCTTGATTTGCATGTTCCCGGCTGGCCGCCATTTTAGAAATTGACTAGCCCGAAGTAACTGCCCGTGACTACACGCGGCAGTGAAACGGGATTCTGGAATAAAGCCACTAAATTGAATTAGGTGGTAAACCTCAATCCACAAGGAATACCACCTAATTCGATTTAGGGCTTTATTCTGGAATCCTGTTTCATTGCTGTGTGTAGACGCGGGCAGTTACTTCGAACTAGTCAATTTCTAATATGGCGACCGGCTGGGAACATGCAAATCAAGCGCGGGATATTTAAATCCCGGGCTTGATTTGCAATTCTGGTCACCCTCATTAGCCTCCCTAGATTGATCTAGGGGGCTAGTGTAGACGTACCCTGGAGGAATGTTAAACTTCCTGACACCTCAGTGTTTCTATGACACATCTGTTCTTAAACCGAAGTGTTGAAGTGAGACTGCCAACCTTTGGGACTAGCATCTGCTTTTAGAATCAGTTAATTTCCTTAGGATGTATTTTTAGAAGCAGTTACTAGGGAAAGCAGTTACTAGGGAAATACTATCAGACATATGAGAGGTCTAGTTACTGAATGCAGCCTTATGGCTGTTTATAGCTTTGGAAGGTAACCAGGGAGTCTCTAACCACTTTCACTCCTTTTCAGGTGGCCATCATATAGATTTTAAGGCCCAAAGGCATCATTGTGATCATCTGGCCTGACTTTCTGCACAGCACATACTATAGAATTTTACCAAGTGATTCCTGCATCAAGTCCATAAAGTCCCTATTGAGCTGCTAGATATAATCTCTAGAAAAATATCCCCTGGGTGCTCATGCCTTAGGAATGCAAATGAGTTGAAAAACTCATGCACAACAGGGAGCATCAGTTGAGTTGCCTGGCGAAGGAACATTGGCCGAGCCTTTTAAAATGTGTAGCAATTATGTCACTGCCCACTAGCCTTCCCACCTCCTGTGAGGGGATGAATGGTTCTATGTCAGGTGTAAATTAATTTCCAAAGTCTACCAGGTGGCATTCTTGCTACAGTGATACATTATTTCACTTTTCCAAGAATTTATCCTTGCAGGCCATGCTTGGACATTAATAGATTCAGAGTATTCTATTCCATATCCCACTCTACTTTCTTTTCTTGCAATATTCTGTCACAATGTTGCTTTCATCTTCTAATCAAAACAAGTAACTCAATGCTTCTTTATACAGGGCCAGAATTCTTTTCTTCTCCTAGAACTTACTTCACAATGGGATGAAGCTGGTTTTGATGGCAATTTTTCTACATGTGTCCTGTGTTTTAACCTGTCTCTATTTTGTGGGCACAGTTGTCAGGGTAAGTGGCCAATTTTCTCCAGCCTTGATTATTTTTCAGCTCCACTGTCAACTTTAACTGATCCGTTTTCTGAGCGAGGAATGCATTTTGTTTCCTTAAACCTATATCATAGGGTAGTTCTGAGCAGAGAGTTTCTGTTACTAGCTGCTTCCTCCAAATAAATACCAAGTATGTGATTTTCTGAAAGGATGCTGTGCAGAGACCTCCTAGAAGTAAATAATGTTAAGGATAGGGCAAATATTTAAAGAGACAGGACCTCGGTAAGTCCAATGCATTTCCAAAAGCAACTTTCAGACACAGTGTCCTGTTTCTCTTCCCATGTTGTTTTGAGCAGAAGTTGCAATGGAGATGTTTAGGGTTGATATGTTCATACTGCACTTAATATATACAATATAAGACAGAAATTCTCTGCTCATGACTGTATTTAGAGAGCTGAGGCATGGCTGGAACCATATATATTGGGATAAACTATTTCCCATATAGTACTGCATACTGGAGCAGTACAGAAAAATGTTTGGAGAAGATGTGTATTTACACAGTGACAAAGCATTTCTGTATACTTAAACCACATGTTAATGTTATTGATAGTTTGTTTATATGATCGCCAAAGAATACTGAAAGCATCTGATGCTTTTGGTAGAATGTAGAGTCTAAACATCTGCATGCCTTACACTGAAAGGTTCAGTCTGAATGCTTCAATTCAGTGGATATCTTCTTTTGTGATAAAGTTGGACAATTTAATTGAAGCAAGTTACCTTTGGCATGTACCACATATTCATTTGGAAAATATTGTTAACTCATGGAGCTTAAATGCCCCAAAGCATCTGCATAATGTCTAGCAGGTTAAGCCTTTGACAAAGAGCCTTAGTTCTAAGATGACAACTTATTAGAGAAAGAGAGAGAGAGAGATGGGGGGCAGAGGGAGAATATAAAAGAAATAAGTTAGAGATTAAATAGCAAAGGATTATAATGGAAAAAGTAGAAGAAAAATTGAATCATTCTTTACCCAGCTCTGCTATCTACTTTAGAAACTTGTATCCCCAATCTAACATATGTAGAAAATAAATTCAATAGAAAGAGAAATGGACAAACTGCAGAGAATAAAATTCAAGACAAGCTTTTAATAAAAACTGTCAGGGCAAAGAACTGGTGTCTTTAAAAATAAAATTGCTGGAAATCGTACAGTATACGTGTGTGTATATATAAAATGCTTATGGCGTATAAATGAAAAAATGTATGGCAAAGTAAGAATAAAACCATGCAGTATTATCCATACGAATAACTAATTAAAAACTAATTATAAACCTTCCTGGGAAGGAAAAAAAAACCTTTGAAAGAAATATGTCTATTGCTATTGCAAATATTTAACAAAAAATTAAGCATATAGAGAGTCGCTAATATATTATGATACCTATACTGTTGATATTTTTCCTAATTTATTCTAGGTGGACATTTTCTTTTCACTTTTTTCTTTTCTTTCTTCTGGAACTCATGCACCAATCAGTCATTTGGAGATATAACATCATTTATACATGGGACTACATTATTTGTACGGATCCAATCATTTCAAAGAGGTGTCTTAGGTAAGGGCCACAGTTAAAAGTATTGCTTGCCTAAGGTTCCATATTGATACCATGATCATTTGTGTTGAATGTGAGCCCTATAAAGTCCCTTTCAATTTATTACTCAATTTAAGTGAACTAATCTAAATTAAAATCTCTCTGAATCAATATCTCATTTTTATCATTCTGACTGTATCATACAGATCACTCATCTATTACTCACTGAATAGCTAGGCTAAAGCAGATTTATGACCAAAAGAGCTTTTCTCTACCACGGTGTTACACTGTTGCCCCTTTTCAATCTGAGCAACTAGGCCTGGTCTACACTACAGCAGAAGGTCAAATTAAGATATGCAGCTACAGCTATGTTAAGTATGTAGCTAGACTCGCTAAATTGAACCCTGGAAAAAGAACTGCAGCAGCGTCAATCTTCTGCGTAGTATAGACATGGTCCTAAGTGAAAGTTTGGATCCCTGGGGATGTCCTAATTAGAAAAAGAAATTAACGGCAACTGGCATTTAATACAATTGTGTTTATTTACAAGGAATGTATAAACTCCTGTGTTTCTGAACACAGAAGGATGCAAGAACAAAAGGAACAGTTTTCTAGTTTATAGCTCCCATGTGTCTTTAGCCTACACCCGAGCCAAAACCTCTCTCTAGCTTTTTCCAGAATCCTACTGGGTTTACATGATTCTGCTTGGCTTTCTTGCCTTCTCCTCTTTCTCTGTTCTTCTTTACTCAAGTTTCTCTAATCTCTCTTCCACCTCCCTACCCTACACACATACCAATAATCTGCCAAAATTTCCTGGGCATGATCATACGTACATTTGGCCTTTGGCTGGGGTTTATCTTTACAGTTACGCAGTGCTTAATTGATAATGAAAGAGGAACCAAGTAATTAGGTGCCAGGACTCAAGCAATTTTTTGGCATTTATATCCAATGCAGCAAGCACATAGATACTTGGGCTTTGAACTGCCCAGCCTACAAGTGCTGGGGCTCAGTCCTCCCAGCTGTAGCACAAATTAAAGCACAGAAGTTATGTTAACTGAAGGATGAGTTTACATCCCTCAGTCTCCATAGGATTTTAACTCAACCCCTAACAAAGTTACATCTGACCAGCCAGCTCTGTGTCACTCATCCTTTCATGAGGCCTAAAATGGTGACACCTAACAGCCCATCTCAAACAGAAAGAAAAATTAAAAATCATTCAAGGGTAACAAGCTACCTATATAAAGTGTCATTCTGGGAAGGTGTTTTCATAGAATCTATTCACAGGAATTTTATTCCCACCCAAATCTCTTTGGGGCTTTTCTCTTCATGGGTTTCCTTTCATCCACTGGGGGGTGGGGATGAGGGATTTCTGGGGGGGAGTTGCACAGCCCCTGAGCAATACCTATCATTTTTGTGGAATCTACTGCCTGGCAAACCCTGTTCATTCTGATCAAATAGGAATTAATCTCAATAACAACTCTTTGGCCATGTCCAGACTCAGGGGGTTTTTCGGGAAAAGTAGCCTTTTCCCGAAAAAACTTCCCCTGCGTCCAGACTCAAGCCGCGTTCTTTCGAAATTATTTCGAAAGAATGCGGCTTTTCTTTCGATGGCGGTAAACCTCGTTTCACGAGGAAGAACGCCTTCCTTCGAAAGTTCCTCTTTCGAAGGAAGGCGTTCTTCAATGTAAAGAGGCCGTCTTCGAAAGAGAGCATCCAGACTCGCTGGGTGCTCTCTTTCGAAAAAGCGGATTTTTCTTTCGAAAGATCCGCCTGCAGTCTAGACGCGATCTTTCGAAAGATGCTTTCGAAAGAGCATCTTTCGAAAGAAGCCTGCAGTCTAGACATAGCCTTTCAGCCTCATCTTCCCCACTATATTCTAAGGTTCAGGGTCAGCTATGCTGACATCTTGTTCCCCAAACTATAAGTACAAATATTCTTGTCCAATAGGAAAGGGGGCTTGAAACACAAATAGACAATATTGCATGGAGTCCCAAAGAGCCTATTTCAAAGTTGCAGGTGCTAAATCACACCTTGCTAACCACTATGATGGTTTCCCTTTTTCACTTTTTGCTGCATATGAGAAACAGTCAGAAAAGGAGCAAAGGGTCCATTTCCTTTTGAGACAGAACCACAAACTCTTTAGCAGCTAAGATTCTCCATGTTTCAACCACTCCTTATGTTTACTCTGTTGCAATATTACTACTGCTGTTAGTTATTTCTAACTAACATGTAGCTGTTAGTTATTTCTTCCCAGTGGAGCTGGACAACTCATTCACTGCTAACCAGTTTGACTTTAGCCATATTTGTGTTTGACTTCAGCCATGTTTTTAAAAGGGAATCTCAACAGACTGAATTAGTTAGACACCCTTCCTAGCATTGATGACACAATTATTAGCCATTTCCCCAATATTGTTGGTTATTTGCCCAGACTGAAACAAAAGCTACTGGGCCTATCCTTTTACCTCCACCCAGGTTTTCCCCTTCAGCTTCATACTCCTGTTTCTGACACTGGGAGAAAGGCTTTCACTAGGCACTTCTGACAATCTGTCTTGATTTGTCTTAAACCTAGGACAATCCTTTTTCTAGCCAGTTTTGCAACAGTACCAGTATTTAACTGATCTGCTTCCTTCAATTTTAGCCTTATTGCCAATTTCTCTTATTTTACAAACCAAATTTGTCACTTTTCTAATCATTTAATAAAGTCATGAACCAGACTAGAATCCTTTTCTTATCACATGTATTAGACACAGAACTGGACTTAGGGTTCATGGCATATCAGCTTCCATCTTCTTCATTAGAGGTGGCTTCCTCTTCTGATGTCCTGCTGCAAGAAAAGATCCAAATCCTGTGGCAATTTTCCCAGTGTCTTGGAGCATTTTTGGGCCTCCTTTTCCTGATCTTGAGCTGCAGGTCCAACACCAGCTCAAAATTTATACAGTCTGTCCTGGAAGGCCTCTGTAGCATTTGGATATGTTAGGAATGAGTTCAGAT